ATGGACCTACTTGAAATGATGTCGGAACAGTATGAATGCATTTCTGAACATCGTTATGTTATATGTGGACAGCTCCGTTGTCAAGAGGTCTGGACATCTTGTTCGTGCGTTTCTCGCATGTTACTCAGATGACCACAAATCACTGTATGTTGTGTATGTTGTGTCGGTGAAAACAAATAGTAATTTAATAATTTTGCACTATACCGAGTGATCTGATCGATTGCTCCCATAATTTTAAACTAATCGATCAAATGTTTCACTTAAACAGTCACGTATTAATCTTCTACTATGCAATTTTTATTTTCATTCCCAAAGGCTTGCTTTTTGGGCTACGAAGTGGCCCTCAAGTTCCTTGACTCAGTATTACCGAATTGGTGATTTACCCACCGCACATGCAGTTCCCGTTCAGGTCGCCATGTGTTCGCTGTCGTGCGAGGTTTTCAATATTATCAGCACTATCCTATTTAATCCATGACACCTTATCTGTTCATTCCGCCATGTTGTGAGGCCCAGATGGAATTTATACCCCCCCCCCTCCAAACTACTCTTCATGTTGACACTTTTGTTACCCTCTTCATCTGTACCTCTTTATTTCATTGCCCATGTATATCTACATGCTTTTTTCTCTACTCTCACAGTGACCTCCATCGAATGGTTTATCGTCTGCTCTCATTTTGTCGCAGAGTTCATTTATTTCATATTCACCTATTTTTCTTCTCTGCCGATCAGTTCTATTTAATTGGCAATTGTTATGTGCTGTCATATCATTCCTTTTTTTAGTCTAAACCGATCGACAAAATACATGCGTTGTTACATTTTTGGAATGTTTCCTGTGTTTTATTCTCACGTGTTATTGTGGAGAACCAAGATACTGAAACATGCAGTTGCTTTCTTCGTTCATGCAAAATAACAGGTTGGAATTTGTCTCATGACAATCCTTTCATCAGTTGCAATACACAACATGATATTAACCCGACCCTGTTTCTCTCGGATACCGAGCCCCTCCCCTTCAGAATAATCAAATTTGATATGATGATGAGACGACCCATTACTGTATCGAGAGATCCAATGGATTTCGATTATTTTTGTTAAGCTGAGTTGTCGTAGAAACGGGCTGTCAGCGTTCTGTATTACCATTAACCCGACTCCGAGTGCAGTTTTACAGCACACTCTTTAGCTAGCCATGTAAGTTGTATGAGTCAGTCATGCCTCCGATGTGTTATAGATTCCTGAACAATATCCACATCGCACGAGGTAGTTGCATAACGATTACCGAGGTCATGCGTCGTGGTTAGATTCCTGGACCCGTCATTTGTCGAAAAGGAAGAATGGCTCGCAGTTGAAGGCCATCAGAACTGAGGGGAAGAAGATCGTCAGACAAATTCATCTATCATCGTTGGTTGCTCGCAACCTTTTGGTCCGATCACACCGAAATAACTCGAAGAAATCACCCTTATCAAAGTTTGAGATAGCTCTTGCGTGCTACTTCGACTCAATTAACACGTGCGTCTAAGTTGCAGCGATCATTATATATATTAATGTATTGATCTTATGTAACGACTGTGATATTTTGGTTTCAATGTACAGCTTGTAAAATAAGTGCGACTTTTGTTGTATAGTTTGTTAATTGTTCAGTCGATGCATTGATTGTTGCTCAATCTCTAGTCAGTATCCCTCGGTCTCGCAAATTTGATGACCG